TACCAGTCAGTGTGCTTAGTGAGAGTTTTTTAACATACTCCATACAAATTTGAGTTAACTTTTACGCTATCGAGAACGTTAAAAAGCACTAAGCATACGCGCGTCTTATCCTTTAGGCCACGGCGACTTCTCAGACTGAAAAAAGTAACTTTCGGAGCGGCGCACCTTGTTTCTTTCTGTCTGAACACGCGGGGGATATCCAAAGCTTTTAATTAAAAGCTAGATGTTATTAAAACTGGCACGTTACAAAGATTATTTTTCTATTTTAGATCGTTTGTTTAACTTTGTTTATTTATTATGTATAAATGCTATCGGTATTTCGGTCTTTGAAATGGTTTTGTTCTACTCTCAAATTTACGTACCGGTAAAGTAAATTGTCGTATGTTTAAATAAGATTATTTTTTTGACTAGTACTTTATTTATTTATTTTTCTTTTTCAATAAAGATAAAACCTGTGGGTATATTGACAGCGGCGACTGTACGATGTGACAATGACGTAGGTCCAAGGGCGATGACGAAATAAAAATAAAAAATACCTTACATTTAGAAAGTGTACGTAATACGCATGAATCAAACAACAAATTGTGCGACATTTTAAGTGTGAAATTTTTCGGTATGCAGATGAGTTATGTTTGGATTTTTAATTTGCGAATGAGTTAAATGAACTGATTTTCAAACTGATTTTATTAAGTACATGGAGATTATATATTTCTTTTACTGCAGTGGTTATTGGTGAGTCCGCACGGGTAGGTACCACCACCCCGCCTATTTCTGCCGTGAAGCAGTGGTGCGTTTCGGCTTGAAGGGTGGGGCAGCCGTTGTAACTATATTTGAGACCTTAGAACTTATATCTCAAGGTGGGTGGCACATTTACGTCGTAGATGTCTATGGGCTCTAGTAACAGGTGGGCGGTGAGCTCGTCCACCAAGCAAAGCAATAAAAAAAATTTTTTTTTACTAATATTATTTTATTTTCAGCCTAAAGACGTATACTGCTTAGAACTAGCCTTCCTCAAGGTTCGACATCATGACCGGTCCTGCACTGCCAGCATCCAGTGGATTTCCACGATCTTCAACATGCCGTTGGTCCATCTTGTCCAAAGGCTTTCGAATGCGAATTTCATGTGAATCTCCTCATTACGGACTCATTCTTGCAGCGAATCTCCGAGCATATGTCTTTTGATTGCTCCATTGTGAGTGACCACGTTTCACTGACATATGTCATCACTGTCAATGTATATTTTTAATACGCTTTGTATGTTAGTATGTAACGGAATCTTTGAACATAATTTTGACCCCCTTCAAAACGTCGGATTAACTCGAAATTTGGCATACTTATTAAGGACCGATGACAATTCAATATTTAAAAAAAATTTTAAGACATTGAAATTCAACTATAAAATGAAAAATAAATAATAGTTTTAAAAAACTAAAAAAATACGCTTTTACACTATAAAATAATTTTTTCTTACACTATTTTTAATTCAAATTTACTAAAATTTATTTTCTATTTTTTTGTTGGATTTTCTATAAAAGCGTATTTTTTTTATTTATTTTTTAAATATTCATAATATATTTCAACTGTAAATCCTCTTCCACTACCAAAACATAATTATAATGAATATTACCCACGCGAAACAGATCAAAATCGTTAAGACGATGTCTAAATTACAAACCAATATAATTTGTCATTCGATCCAGTTTATCAACTCGGAACTAGAGTGTCGGCTATCAAATAGTTTGTGGATCTCTTAATATCCGAGATATTAGAGAGATTGATTGCAGTTTCGTATCCCTGTTAACGACGGAATACATTTACGTGATCGAACTCTGCAACCGCACCCAGTTTATTTACTAATCTGATTGCTGTTTTGTCGATACGAAGCCAGATGATTAATGATTTTATTATATAATAACTATCTACTTCTAAATCATGTTTTTCGAAAAGTAATAAAATATTATTATTTATAATATACTTATTAATAAGTCAAAAACACCAAAACACCAGTTCAGAGAAATGTCACGGTGTTGATTAGAATGGGTGAAATAAATTCAGCGGTTTTCTTTGTGTTTAAAATTTGATGTTTATTTCATAACACAAACATACAGCACTTTATAATTGAAGCACTTAATCCAAAATTCTTGCTTTGTGGTAAACGCTAATAATCTAATTAAATAATTGTATTTTTTTAGTGTTTCGATTTTAATACTTTAAGGTATGTACTTCATTTAAAAGAGACGGAAAGAGTACTTTGTTTTTTTCTAGACTAAAAGAGACTGTTTAATTTTATAAACTGAAGGCATGTTGTTTATTAGTCGTTCAAAGTTTAAAACTAATTTTCTTACAATTTTTAGTTAAGCCACTCCAATTCTAAAGATGCAATACTACTTCATGCAGAATTAGGTACGATGCGAGTTCATCACTAGTAAATGTCGATTGACGATTCCAATATCCGGATGAAATTCTTTATTTATTTATTTTTATCTACCTATTCTATCTAGTAACCTCGAGGAGTTATTCTAGATTCGCCGAGCTAATAGGTGAGCTCACGGGGCTCAAACCTGACGACGTTACTAGCACGAATCCTAGCAAGAGTCGTGCTTCGCAGAATCTACCCCCGGATCGGACACGCGATCCGCTGAAAGGTCCGGCGAGAAACTCAGTGGGCTGTGTCTGTGGGTTATGAAATTGTCAAAGAACGATGCTACATATTCTCTGGCAAATGCCTTAGACGCGTAAAGGTAGGACTACCTAGGTCCTTTCGATTACGTCTAAAGATGGAGTAGTACCATTTTAGACCTTTTTTTAATGGTGGTAGGACCTCTTGTGAGTCCACGCAGGTGGGTACCACCACCCTGCCTATTTCTGCCGTGAAACAGTAATGCGTTTCGGTTTGAAGGGTGGGGCAGCCGTTGTAACTATACTTAAGACCTTAGAACTTATATCTCAAGGTGGGTGGCGCATTTACGTTGTGGATGTCTATGGGCTCCAGTAACCACTTAACACCAGGTGGGCTGTGAGCTCGTCCACCCATCAAAGCAATAAAAAAAAAAGACCATTTAGGTACCATTTCTAAAACTATCTTAACTTGAACGATGTTAAAATGTACACAGTAAATATCTGCTTTTATCTAAATGCTCATGTATGTTACTGATGCGAGGCGTCGCGACGTTATCGCGCCGGCAATTTATATAGTGAATATTACTGTGTCTGTTGTATGTAGGTCTCAACCTAGTTCCAGCTAACTGCCTCCGACGAACGTCTGTTTGCATCCTACGTATTTGTGTCGTTAGAAAACTACTGTTTAATTGAATATGCAATTTCGAAAAGGGCACATCTCGTATATTTTGTCAAATACGTTTTTTTCATATACATGTAACTTTGAGGCTTACCTACACCCATTTTATAATAATTCCAGTAATTTTCAATTGCTAATTAACACTAAAATATATCTCAAAAGTTAGTATTTGAAATTTTACACTGCTTTAGAAAATAATCAGTTTTTTTTCATTTCCTGAACATTTTACATTTTCAGAGATGTGCCCTTTTCGAAATTGCATATTCAATTAGGTATAGGGGAGAAATATTTCGATGCCTCCAATGAACACTACGCTAACTCCAAATTCGTAGATTTACAGGAGGAGCATTTAAACGAAAAAAGTTGATAAAATCTTTATTATTGCAGATATATTAATGGTTTTTTTTGTGTAGCTAGCTTATTTACCCTTGCTTTGAAACCCATTAAGAATGATTAATTGTAATACTTTTAACATAGTGAAGCGATTTGCGTGAAAAATGAAAATTTCAAAATTTTGAGTTAGAGTAGTGTTCATTGGAGGCATCGATTTGGTGTTGGATTTTATTTTAAAATAGGATAAACGCAATTATTAAATAAGTATTATTAAGACTTTCGAAGTCTCTTATTACAATATATTAAAACTTCGAATTCATGTGTCTACTTAGGTATTGGTATTCACGGGTAGGTTCTTTGCCGAACCAAACAATCCGAAATTATGCAAATCCTGGTAAAATTACCACCGCCGCCGCTAGCGGAATTTAAATAAATAAAATCCATGTGTAACTAGCACTATAAATCGGCTGAACAGCATTATGCATTCTTAACAATCAAACTACACCCAACAAATGTAAAAGACGTATTACTGCCACCACATTTTGCCTCTCACTTTGACTAACCAAAGTTTATATCTAACGTCCCTCTACCGAACTAATCACGGTCGCGTGCGGCGCGCGAATGGCTGATCATTATGTAATTTGACCGCGCGGGACCCACCCTGGCTTTGAAATCGTATATTTCGTTGAAGCCACACGAGCGAAACCTTTTGATGTGGTTATAACTTTTGTGCGGTCTGTACGAAATATAATTCCGAGCGGCAACGCTGTAGTGCGTATCAGTATCGCAGACTTTTTAACTGTGTTTTTTTGCGTGTTTTTAAACGTTCTCGATAGCGTAAAAGTTAAGTCGAATTTGTATGGAGTTAGATCGTTTGTCGACACTGTTCCAGCTGGGTGAAAGGCTATTTGGTTTAAGCAACATTTTTGCAATTTTACAGGAGAGAGAGCCATTTACCCCCTCGACCGGGTATCTGTAAATGGATTCCCCAGCGTTAAAAAAAAGGAGAGAGAGCCATTTGAAGTTTAAAATTTGGAAAAAATATCATGACAAAAAACTACTTCAGCTATTTGAATGGAATAAACTTAATTGAAGTTCAATTAAAAGCAATATACTGTTGATGCTAATACCAACTAAAACGCACTTTTAATTACAAAGATAAATGTCGCGTATTAAGTGATATGTCGCTTATACCAAATAGCTTTTCACCCCTCGATAGGTAAGGTTCATTAAGGTTCACTGCTGCGATCTCGTGTCTCATGGTAGACGCGGAATTTTGTCCGCGCATCTATGTGCTTTTTTGGATCAAGAAGAAATCGCCGGACTTCACTATAAGGAATGGAACTTAATCAAATCAATTTATACATACCTTTCACGTACAGAACCGTGGGCTTAGAGAATTCAGTTCCAATCGAGTTTTCCGCGATACATTCAAATTTGCCATTGTCGTCCTCTTCACTCTTCACTATTTGCAGTGTACCTAGAAACAAAAGAAGTGTTTACTGTAATTTTCAATTCGATAAATTTGATAGAAGATTATTAAATTCAACAGCTCTTTTATTAATGGATATAAATTCATCGTGTAATATTAGTTTAGGAAATATAAACAAATTTCCTGCATAATTGGAAACCATTACGGTTTTACAATTTAATTTTGCTTTTTTTATCTTCCTTTATTTTTTAATAATTTCCTTTTATTCAAATGTCGACGATTAGTCGTCCATAGTCGTCTACGACCATAATAAGTGAATATTGTTCTGACTAGGAAATTACGAGATTAAATCTATATATTTAAAAATGAATTGCTGTTCGTTAGTCTCGCTAAAACTCGAGAACGGCTAGACCGATTTGGCTAATTTTGGTCTTGAATTATTTGTGGAAGTCCAGAGAAGGTTTAAAAGGTGAATAAATATGAAAATGCTCGGAATTATATAAAAACAAACAATTTTGTTTTTCCTTTGATGTGTCCCCCGTCGGACGGATTCCTTTTGTTTGTTTTAAGTTTATTTTATACAAAAGTTTACGTATTTTATTTATCGATTGAGGCACTACGAAGTCTGCCGGGTCAGCTAGTCGTACAAAAAAAAATACAACTCGCAAAACTGAAGAACACACTACCTCGTCTGCAGTTTCGTTTAGATTGTCTCCCCTATTTATTTCCCTGAGCAACTACTAAATCGCCCGCGCAAAAACTAGCTTTGTAGTGATTTAATAGATGTTTCTGATGCCGTAAAACTTCATGCCGTCAAGTATAAACAAATATACGTTAACATGAAAGAGAAAATGTTTGTAGAAAAACGAAAAAAGACTTGATAACTTAGTTTCGTAGATGCTCTTTGAATGTTTCGAAAATACATAAAAGAATAGACTGGCGGATGGTATGGCACTTAGATTTTTCTAGACTTTTAACCTCCAGCTTATTTATAAAACCGAGTAAAATATAACTCTGTCAAATTTCTAGTTCTAAGTAAACGTAAATAAAATTTGTAGATTTTATGTTTAATGCAACTGAGTCGTGAAGATTTTTAAGTTATGGATCCTCCATTAGATAATGTAAAGGCGATTTACGTGTCGTTTATATGTATAGGTCGAATTTTTGCGCTTCTTATTTCTGAAGCAGTTCCATCAAATTAAAATACGCTAACTTGCATATTTAGGATCTTAACTACGAGATTTAATGTAATTTTTTTTTATTGCCTTGATGGGTGGACGAGCTCACAGCCCACCTGGTGTTAAGTGGTTACTGGAGCCCATGGACATCTACAACGTAAATGCGCAACCCACCTTGAGATATAAGTTCTAAGATCTCAGTATAGTTACAACGGCTGCCCCACCCTTCAAACCGAAACGCATTACTGCTTCACGGCAGCGATAGGCAGGGCGGTGGTACCTACCCGCGCGGACTCACAAGAGGTCCTACCACCAGTAAAAGTGTTTGGCCAGCCTGACATCTCAAAATTCATGATTGTATACGATTTTTCTTACTGAATTTATATAGTTTTTATTACTACAACAGTTATTAATTCTATTAGTAACATGAACTAGACGTCAAAACAATTTATTTGCATTTGAAATCATGACTTTTTTATTACGTACTTTTGGTTCTGGCTCGATGTTCCTTCTTGAATTTGAAACGTTTTCTATCTATTTTCATGTTATACTTGATTAAGCTATTTAAAAATGCCGTTGAATACTTTAAAGGCTTTTTTTTTATTGCTTAGATGAGTGGACTAGCTCACAGCCCACCTGATGTTAAGTGGTTACTGGAGCCTATAGACATCTACGACGTAAATGCGCCACCCACCCTGAGATATAAGTTCTAAGGTCTCAAGTATAGTTACTATCTGCTAGGCTATCTTCGTTGGTAATGATTATGTTTTTTGTGTGTCCACGACACAATAATATTAATCTTAAAATGCTCATTACTCGTTAAGATGAATAGGGCGTTTCGAAAATGATGATGACTTCACCGCGATGAAAACGACTGTAATTTTATTTTTTTTAATTTCCGGTTGCATAATTTTGAGTTGGCTGTTGGCATTTGGATTTCAAAGCATTACCATGGAATAATGAAAGTAAGTAATACAAAGTTTTTAGGTTTATTTTTGTTTCATATTCCAAAACTAGATACGTAAATATTTTCATACTCAGAATGAACACACTATAAATATTTTCGTTCAACATCTATATATTAATACATGAAGCAAAAATGTTGTACCCCTTTTTAAGAAAATTGCGCGGACGGAGGACTAGCTCACAGCCCACCTGGTGTTAAGTGGTTACTGGAGTCCATAGACAACTACAACGTAAATGCGCCACCCACCTTGAGATATAAGTTCTAAGGTCTCAAGTATAGTTACATAACTGTGCGATCTGATGAATTTAATAATTCTTAATCGTACTAGAAAATGAGCTTTTTTTTTATTGCCCTTGTAGGAGACGAGCATACGGCCCACCTGATGGTAAATGGTTACCGTCGCCCATGGACTACAGCTATGCCAGGGGCAGAGCCAAGCCGCTGCCTACCGCTACGAATATGACAGTAACGGTAAACGTCGATCAAATAGTGTTTCTTAAAAGAACGACACCACACAATATGTTGTGGGACAAAAACTAAAACTGCGTCTGATCCATTTGGAACGTCAAAATTGCGATTTCTTGGAGTTGTTGGCGTAATCAAATAAAAATGGCGGTTGTACGTGACCGGGCCAGGGGTTTTCGTTACAGCTGACCATTGACCAAGGGTATGACAAAGGTCAGAACGTCACAGGGGAGGAGCGTACAGATTGGTTATTATAATATACTGGTTTCGCAATACAAGACGCATATTTTTTGCCTATCTAATCGTTGATAGCTTGCTTAGGTTTAGTCTTTTGGCTATTCCAGTTACTGTCGGACCTTACGCGTAATAGGCACAAAACTTTTTTAATAATCATACAAAAATATATTTTTTTAATTCATGTCAACCATGAAAGGCGATCAGATCTTTAAAAATTTACGGTCCCTTTTTGCGGGATGTCTTTAAAATTATTGAAATGAAAATTCAAGATTGAATTACTTTTGAAGTAGGTACACCTGAATTGAAATCAGTGGTCATGGTATTTCGACCGCTAAATAAAACATTCAAGGGAGGTGTAAAAATAATGCACCAAGATTCCGAAATGAAACCGGTTTCAATAAAACTAACAGCTATTTTGGAACATTTATCACACAACCTATAAAATTATTACCCGAAAAAAAAAAGACGACAGTAAAAAGTAGATGGATATAAATATTTGTTGGTCATCGATTCGATTGCTAGATAAGATCCGAAATCCGTTTAAGCGTGTCCGTGTATTGAACGCAATGAAATAAAAGAGATAGCCCGTCTTGATCCTTGGGCTTTTCGCTTAGTATCATTGCACGTGGTACAAGTTAACAGACGGCGCGTAATTTAAAATTTAAACGTTTTTTTTAAAAAATTTTTATTGCTTAGATGCGTGGACGAGCTGACAGTCCACTTGGTGTTAAGTGGTTACTGGAGCCCATGGACATCTAGAGATTTGAGATTGAGATATAAGATCTCAGTATAGTTACAACGGCTGCCCCACCCTTCAAACCGAAACGCATTATTGCTTCACGGCAGAAATAGGTAGGGCGGTGGTACCTACCCGCGCGGACTCACAAGAGGTCCTACCACCAGTAAGAATCTTTTTTTTTCGATTTCCATTTTAATGCTCGTTTTTTTTAATTGACAAAAACCATTGACCACCTTTACGTAAACCAAAATCAGTTTCGATTAATTGCAACTTCGGTTGTCTCTGTATATATTACCGTGAGACCAATGGTGAGTGCACTGAGAAATTATTTAAGATGATCGTGATTTCTATTTTACTATCGCAGGTTCAAGTAGAGAAGACTATTACTTGCTATTAACACTTAAGGGTTTTTCGTAGGAATATGTTATTATACGAGATTTGAAAAGGTCTTAGAATGACTTAGAATGGCTTGTACGATCTGGATTTTTTATTTTTTTTATAGCTTAGATGGGTGGACGAGCTCACAGCCCACCTGATGTTAAGTGGTTACTGGACCCCATAGACATCTACAACGTCTCAGTATAATTACAACGGCCACCCCACCCTTCAAACCGAAACGCATTACTGCTTCACGGCAGAAATAGGCGGGGTGGTGGTACCTACCCGTGAGAACTCACAAGAGGCCCTACCACCAGTAATTACCCAAATTATAATTTTTGCGGGTTTGAAGCAAGCACTTCAATCGACTACCATTAAAAACATGTCTATTTATTTCACAATCACATGTCATATGTGCAAATCGACGAGCGTAATCAAATCCCGGTTTTATTATGTTATTGGATTACATTTTATACTACGAACGTTTTATTGTTGATTTAAGTCAGTCGTTTGTGACTTGAGCTCTGTTTATGGACTATTCAGCGTCCACAACTCCTATCTGTGTTGGTCACTTGTAAAGATTTTGAGTTTTGTTTCATTTTCCGACTCTCGTACCAGATTTGGTTTGCTGTAATTGTGATTTCCGTTTTTTTCATTCTGGGTTTTTTTTTTGTATTTAATGTATCGCACTGTTTATTTGTTTTTTGGTGTACAGTAAAGAATACTCTCTCTCTTTCTCTCTATCTCTCTAATTTTCAAATATTGTACACGTCACCTATATGACATTTGCCAGTTGTTTGTTAAGTGTAGTTTCGTGTGACAATCGTGTGCAGCTTTCGTTGGTAGATTCCAATTGGAACGTTAGCTCATATTTTGGGGTGAACATGGTATTCATGATCGAGGGACACACTAAAATCAGGAGGACATTAGTTCACCTACCCATGTAAAGCAATATAACAATTAAATTTGACTTTAAGTGTCCATCATGCTTTTAGTTACACCCAGGACGCAAGCAAGTTGCAACTCTATTTAGTTCACCACAAAAGCGTGATCACGCTGCATATTTGTAAAATTCAACGCATCT